AGGGACTTTTACTAACAACAACTGAAGAACTGGAGAAAATGGGTATGAAAGCATCCATAGCTAGGGAGACTGGAGTGCCGAGCTGCCATCAGGGAGCCCTGGCCACTACAAGGAGGCATCCATCTGGTTCTCAGAGCAGTGACACCCAGAGATATGGGCTGTAGTCTGCAAACCACACATGCTGTACTTTTGTAAATGGTATAAAGCCTTGTTGAGAAATAAGGTTTTATATCAAAGCATAAGTGACCCCATAAATGGTCTTCACTGGAAGTGCCCTGTGGAACAAGCTTGTCTAAATTCTATTTTCACAGAACACCAAGTCCTTGTCCAGGTTCCACTAAAGCCACAGTCAGCACACCCATATCAAGCTGGTCAATCATGCCTAGTTACCTGTACCTTGTACACACACACACACACACACACACACACACACACACACACACACACGGTTTTAAACAGCTCTCTCTAAAAGATTGCCCCTTGGCCTGGGTGCTGTCCTTGGTGCTGGATCCTATTTTTCTCAAGTCTAACGTATCTTTTGTTAAATACAGAAACCCCAATCCAACAAACACAAAGACGTCTTCAAAGAGCACTAGCAAAGAGAAAGAAGCTCTGGGTGACGGATTGGAGTTCTGACTTGGAATAGTGTACTAGAGTCAAGTAAAGAGGGTACACAGGGCTGAGGACGTGGATCAGCCACTAAAGTACTTGCCTTGCAAGTATGAGTCACCAGAAGCCATATGAAAAGCTGGGTTTATTGGCATGTTCTTATAATCCTGGTGATCACGAGAGGGGATGTAAAGACAGATCCTGGGAACTCACAGCCTTGTCTGCTTGTTCCAGACAAACCAGAGATTTAGTTCTAAACAAACAGAAGAAAGTGTCTGGGGCTTGACACTCAGAGCTATCTGGAACTACACATGCATGATGCATGCAGGATCCATGTGCATGGTTACCTCTGCAGAGATACACACTCATGAATGGGGATGGGCAATAGACAGACAGGTGGACACAGACAGGGATACACACACACACACACACACACACACACACACACACTGGAGAAAATGGTTTGAAACTGCACATCTAAGAGTGCGCCTTGGTCTGGGTGCTGTCCTTGGTGCTGGATCGTATTTCTCAAGCCCAATATCCATGGTTCAGACTAAAAGCTTACAGGTCCCTACAGTGGGACAGGGGAGTGCTATGCTGTCTTTACACGGCACAGACGTGTTTGCCACTGGAGTCCAGAGGGGTCCATCTTGTGAGACCAAGACTTTTCACACTGTATCCTTCTGTTTCCTTGTAGCATTCACTTGTCATTCATGTGTTGTTCAGGACTATAAGAAAACAAAGCCCAACGGTAAGAGTTGGCCAGAGTCATATTAACAGAACAAGCCAATGGGACCAGCTATTGAATCGAGGATGAACTCATAATTTAGTATGAAGCATGGGTACCTCAAAGCAAGTAATGGTGGGGGGCAGTTGTTTTTAGGTCAGTGACACAAGCTCTTACATCCGGGAACTTCTGATTCACCTGAGATCTATGCCTACTGTCTCCTGAAGAAGCTCTTGCTGTAGTGGTCTGAGCTTTGTGCTCTTCTCAGTTACAGTAGTGAGACAGAGAGACAATCCTTCCAAATGCTGGCTTTATGGATGGGGTTCTGAGGGGAGAGGGAGAAACCAGGGATATCATTGGTTGTCACTTGGTGCTCTTGCCCTCTGGTCTATGGCCATACCACCCTAAACGTGCCAATATCATCTCATCTCAGAGGCTAAGTAGGGCCAGACCTGCGTAGTCCTTGAAGGGAGGAACGTATCTGTGTTTGCAGCACAGACCGAGTTCAGATACTGCAGCCCTGTTATTAATGTGACCCTCACATGATCAGTGAAGCCAAATTCTCCAGCTTGGAAGGCCCATGATCAGTTAGTACAGAAGACAACAGACTCCTTAGTCAAAAGTCCTGTATGAAGAACTCTCCTTCATTGGATAAAATTCCAGTTGGGTCATTGATTGACAGTTGCAGCTGGCAGGAGCCCTGGAGTGAGTGAGCCACACAGCACAAGGTCAACATTTTACATTTGATCCCAAGTTCATCCCTCTCTGACTTTTCTGATTCCTCTAAATGACAAACACAGCAAGGGTACTACAGAAACTGCTAGAAACGTTCAGAAGGGGCTCTCCAGGAGAGTTCTGGTAGGTAATGAAGTCTTGAACATAAGTCTCAGACAGGGAAAGCTGATGGAAAATACCCCCCAAGAAAACAGCAATGTGACTGACCAGCCTTAGGAGACCATCCAGTCCTCCCTGTGGGGCGACCACGTGCCTCTTCCTCTGCTGAGCACTTCAAAAGGGCAAGCACTTAGCATCATCCCAATTAGCTTCTGGACAGCCAAACCATGCCTGACTTAGTAGGTACGTGCTAACTGTCTGGGATGGGAATGTGTGCGTTTTATAAGTGATTAGCCCAGTCTGCTCAGGAGAGCTTAGAAAGGACAGTTTCTTGCTAAAGTATTTCACCATCCTGGAGGAGGGTCCTCTTGTGACTCTCTGGTGCCTGAAGCCTTTGTCCTGTCATTTTTCGGATTCACTGACTATCCCAAGCTGCCAATTACATGTAGTGAAAAACACAGGTCCCTGGATAGAGGCAAGGCAGCACAGAACATCAGAAGCCTGGGGTCTAAGAATAATGAGATCCTGGGCCTGGAGTGTGGATGGATTCTGTTCTATAAAATGAGAAGAGAATAATTAATTGGAAGACTCCAGGCACCAATACAAGTGAGATTCTTAAGGCTTGGAGGTGACTGAGCAAAACTGGGGTGTGATACTGAACAGGCCCAGTAGAGGTTATAGTGAGGTCTAGGGCAGGAAGGTTCTAGGAGCCTGAAGTACCCCTATGAGTGCCCCCAGACAGTGGTTAGGGACCACGGCAGCCTTCTTTAAGCAACAAGAACTTGGAAGTGGCTAGCACAAAAGACTACTAGGCGCACTAGCTCGCTATGGCTCATATCCATTAGGGCAGCAGAACTTTGTGGGCAACCCCGCCCACCAGAGTGGCAGCACATCAGCATGACACTGCTAGACAGTCACACCAGGGATGTGGACTCAAGTCCAGCACCTATTTATTGCTTGCTGTATGGTTGCTAAGATCAAGAACAGGCTGAGGGCCAAGCTCATTTGAGTAAACTGAAAAGAGAACGCCCCTGTGCATACCCAGGAGGTCCTTGGCTAGAATGGGACAAGGAGGCAGTGTGTATACAAGGGGCTTGCCCAATTGAGGGACAAGAGCTAAGAGCAAGAACTGCCGAGTATGGGGAAGGACAGAGGGAGGACATGAAGCCCAGGGGGAAATGCCAGATATGGGTGTCCAAAGGAGCCCGGGATAGCAGAGGGACAATACAAACACAGTGATATTGTGATTCTAACTCCTTTTCAGTGAATCCTAGCCAATGTTTGGCAACATTGTGGGGCAGAATGTGATCACTTGATTAACAAATCAGCTACGCCAAACTCAAATAAACGGCACTGAACTCAAAGTCATGCCTGCATTTACCGAGTCCACAGAGACAATGTCAGTATTGAGCAGCCAATGCTTTTGTTAGATGTTTACATAACACAAAATATAAACGAGGAAGCAAATGTTATTTCGGAAGTTCATGATGCATATGCGCACAGTACACACAGCGAAAGATGATACAAACACACACAACTGGTGTTGACACAGCCACTGTACACATGGCTCCCTTGCGGGATAATACTATCCATGCAGATCTGTCCCCAACGTGATGAGAAAGCAATCCAGGTGGAAACATTTCCTCCCACCATCAACCAAACAGATTCAGTCACTCCCGTTGAACCCTGGATGCAAATAATATTTAGAATACAGTATGCCCGCATCTTAGAAGGAGCAGAAAGTTTAGCGAGGGTAGAATAGTGGGGAGGGAACACAGAGCACCACACACAAGGTTCTTGGAGGGTGAATGGTCCGAGATGTCTTCTAGATAGACCTGACATGGTGAAGACAATCTAACCCATTAAAGCAAAGCAAGTTTCAATCCTACGCTACAAAACAATGGACAAGAGTTTGTTATCTTATTATGAGAAACCCCCGACATGCATGTGTGTCACACACATACACACACACACACACACACACACACACACACACCTCAGACACCTGCGTGGTCTCTAGAGCGAACTGAAGTCTGCCATGTAATATCCTTATAGAGCCATCACTTAGCAGACGGCACAGCCAGAGAGTGCGTCAGAAGTCTTGACAGGAGGAGAGATGCAGTCACAGGCGCCAGCAGCTGTTTTCTCTACAGACCCACTGAGGGAATATTCTGGGATTTATAGACCAAAAGGCAAAAAGCAAAGAAATTATATGCATATTCACCTATGTTTTAAATCACAATCTTTATGGTTGAAATGAAACCCCTTGGAGACATGCATAATTGAATCGTGTTGTAGATATTATTCTTTGGATTCTATTTCAAGCATTTAACAACATAAAATCCATCCTTGGAAGGCTAGACAGATGGGTTATGGAGGCTAGGGTAGGATTTGAGACAGAGGCCATGCGTGTCAAATCCTGCTCTAGCAGGACAGGAGTTGGTAGGTCACAAAACCAGGCAGTTATCAGTCTTTAAACCCATGGTTTTCTCGGGCAGATATTTTAAAAAATACAATAAACATAAAGCTACTTTGAAACATCCCACTCCTCGTGGTTATAACGCAATCAGATTACACACGTCATCCGGGAGCGTCTGTTCACATTCTAAATTTAATTTCAGTGACATCTTGGCTGTAGACGGGTACTGGCTGGTACCATAAAGGCACAGACAGGAGCACAGTGGTAAACACAGAGGGGTCAGTTCCTATGATCACAAGGACCTCACCGTCGGGAAGGTGTCTGATTTGAGACTTCAGCTCTGTGAGGCCGGCGGCCGGGCCCACCACCCCCAGCCGCTGTTTGTAATGCTCTCCTGTTCTTATCTTGTAGGCTTTCATATCGGACGGGGCAAGACACAGCTAATTGTGACACGTGCAGGAACAGTGCATGTATTATCTATAGGTACGTTAACACTCTCTTCCCACTTTCTTATTCTGACGGACAAATGATGTTTACCCACTAATGTGAGAATCACTGGGACCATGCTGGGAAGATTCCATCAGGCAGGAAAAAAAAGTAAAGATCCTTCTCTGGCCATAGTTCTAAGCTATGTCTAAACAGTCATCCTTCTACCAAACCCCAACCCCCACTGCCCAGGTATATAATCCCAGGTTGAAGAAGAGTATGAACGTGTTTGTCTTGCAAATGCACCATCGCAGTCTTGGGAGCCAGTATCATTTTGATGGCTTGCTCCCTGGGAATCTATAGCCTGGAGCAGAAAACTGTGCTTCAGTGAAACAGTAAAATATATGCCCATAGATGGTATGGATCAGAGGCCGGAATCCGCACTGTATAGCGTAGGAATACATGGTAGGTCCTCTCTGCTCACATCATATGGACAGGTATTCTCAAGGAACTCACAAGGTCTGTGGTTCACTCCTCCCCTGGGGCAGGATCCCCTCCCAGGAAACTACAAAAGCTTGTCATGTGTTTTGTTTTTATATAAACTTTGTAATGATTGGCATCCACGAGAAAAGATCAGAAACCGTCAGCAGGCAAAAATTACATCTAGGTTCTTGACAGTAATAAGATTTTAAGGCATTGTCAAAACTTGCTAAAATTGCTCTTTCCACCCCCCCTCATTGTGTGTGTGTGTGTGTGTGTGTGTGTGTAATTTTTACTAACCGTGGCCACAGTGATAGGTGTTAGCTTTGGTCCGTTTGTATACTTGAAGAATGAAGTCAGGGGCCGAGAGGGCTCCCGTGTTTTGGCTGGTGTGAACTGGGCTGCAGTGCTAAGTGCAGACAACTCTGAGATAACACTGAGCTCCTTTCTACCGGGTGTATGCCCATGAGTAATGGCGTAGCCCTTATGGTGGCAGTTCTGGTTTGCTGAGGTTTTCCATAGTGGTCGTGGTGGCACGCATTCCCAACAACAGCATCCTCCTTTTCTCACATCCGGTTCAACAACTAACAGTAGTGTTGTTTTTATAAATTGAGGCAGTGTCTCCTTGTGGCTTTGGTTTACATTTCTGGATGGTTAGTAAGCATCTTTTCCTATACCTAATGCTATCTGTATATCTTTCTTAAAAAAATAATTTTAGTAAGCTGTAAAATTATCACAAAAAAAGCCCAGTAGTAACTAAGTAGTTTTATATGTCTAAAACTACAGACAGGATTCTCCTTGTTCCCTTATAAAAAAAAATAAAATAAAACAACAGTGGACAAAATGTCACCACCAATACCTGAAGAGATCAGACCTGGACAGAGTAGGAAGGCTTCAGGTCACTTAGTCTCACACTCGTCAGCTCCTGTGCTGAGGTGCTGCATATGATATGCATATGATATGACCATGATAACCCAGACTGAGCATCCCAGATACGGTCCCGGTTCTTTAAAAGCAGAGCTGGATCACATGGAAATATTGTCAGGGTGCTAGCAGAAGAAACTATAGCTAGGTGTAGGCACTGAGGTTCTAACTCTCACAGGATGATGGGCAGAATCTGAGGGATTCAATGGTCAGGGGTGGGCATTCATGACTGGCACCTGATGGGTAGGAAGAAGCCAGGGGTGCTATTGGTATCCTGCAACGCATAGGAAAGCCCATGATAGTAGAGACACTGGGGCCAAGGCATCAGTAGAGCTGGGTTTGAGAAGGCCCACCATGCTGAAGCCATCCTGCACCAGGGTTTTTTAAGAGATCTAAGTAAAGGGCTAAGGAATGGGCAACAGACAAAGATCCAGGAAACTCCCAGTAACCCTGGCCAGGGTGTGAAGCTCTCAATTGTTCTTGGCCGCCATCAATGTAGAGGTAAAAAGAATCGAGCACCATGCAGAGGTTTTTCTATCTAGAACTCCATGTTTCAATTCCAGAGGAATTACCTTTCAGATGGGCAATGCCCGGTGGGAACTTTGTAACCACCTTTCAGATGCGCATGCCTGGTGGGATCTTGGCACTAGGTCCAAACTGTGGATAAGGACTTTAAATCAACAGTGAATGGCTTTAACCAGAACATTCCATTTTAACTGATGACATTAATAAGACGAAGGCCTGAGAGTGTGCATCAGGCAGTCCCTCCCTGGGGGTCAGCCCACTTGCAGCACCAGAGTTCATCCAGCCTTCCACTGTGACTAGCTGGAAGTGGCAGAGACTTCCAGAGAAGCTTCATGGGATGAGCATGTTCAGCCTAAAACTACTTAACATTTTGTGGGTGATTGAAAAGAGAATTTATTAGGACACTGTCCAATGTAACTGAAATAATTTAAATAAATTTAGCTCTAAATCCAGGGGTGACTTACATAAAAAGTGATATTAAAAGTGATTTAATGAGTCAGAGAAGGATAAGAATTTGTCTTTCGGGGGAATTAGCCTAGAGTGGATACCACGTTGAATTGGCTCAACCAGCATTCTGCATGAATCCATACACATTAGCCAAAGGTCATCCAAAAGAGCAGTGGGTGTTCAGGCACCAGAAGGATGTACCAGAACCTCAGGAAGACTCATGAAGTACAAAGGCCGAGGCTCGCTGATCCCTCTGGTTCACCTGCATAAACCAGCGGGTGCCCATCAGCCCCCAGAGGCCTGTTCATTGACAATGAGATTTGGTGGTATGCATTTTCATAAGCAGGATACAGAAGAGGTTTTTCCTGCCTTGCAGAGGCTCCATCAGACCCTGAACAAATGCAGAAGCATAAGAATAGGATGGGGAAGGAGGAGGAGTACAGCTTTGTCTCTCCCTTCCATTCCATTCAGAGCAAGAAAACAAACAAACAACAAACTGCAACACCAAACATGTTGCAAACAGAAGATACTCTGGCTTAGTAAGCAAGTTCTGGAACAGTATGCATTTTAACAGTCCAGTTGGAGTTCCCACAATCCCTTAAGTCCCTGTTTCATTGAATCTTGTAACTAGTGTTCAATAAAGCATCACTGTTTCTATGAACACACAAACTCATCTTACCCCCCCCCCCCCCATTTCTCTGTCATTCTTTATACAGTTTGGTCTAGAGCCAGGATGTCACTATGTAGCCCTGGCTGTCCTGAAACTCATGGTATAGACCAGACTGACTTCACACTAACAGGGAGCCAGCCACTTTTGCCTCTGTCTCCTAAGTGCAGGGATTAAAGGTGTGTGCCACTACACCCAGCTCCTGCCATTCTTTACTAGAGATCAAACACAACAGTTTCTCCCACAGTGTCTGAAATGACACAAAGGTTGCTTGAGGCTCATGAGAACAAAGGCTAAAGACAAGAAAAATGTAGCCTTGTTCATGACCTGAGAACCCATTGTCTTGGGAGAAGCCACAGCAACTCTTATCTGTGTGGCATAAGTATGCCATTTCAATTTCAACGATAAATACTGCAATCTTTCACTTATAGAATTTAAGGTGTTGGCTGTCTTTTGCAGCGAGGCCTGAGTATTTCCTCCAAATGTAGATGATCTTCTAGGAGTCATGGCTGCTTCCCTGCCTTGAAAATAATGTCATGCCATGTGACAGAACCAGACCTCAGAGAGGCCTGGCTGTACACTGGAGCCGCCCCTATCCTTTCTGTGCATTTCACTTGATATCACCCTCTTCCCCAAAGACAAGAATAATTTACTGGTATCTATAATATTCACATCACATCATTTCAATTATAAATACAAAGGGCAGAAACAAGTCCAGGAACAAATTCAGCATATTTCTTGGCAAGCAGATAGTTGGAGAACACTGAAGAGTTTGGGGGAGAGAGGGAGGGAGGGAGGGAAGGAGGAAGGGGGAGAGGGGGAGGGGAGGGGGCGGGAGAGGGAGAGGGAGAGGGAGAGGGAGAGGGAGAGGGAGAAAAGCCTGTCAACTCAATAGCAATAGCCTTGGGTAGGTGTCAGCAACATCATACAAGGAAAGCCAATCATGGTTAATGGGGCACAACAGTTAAGGGTACCATCTGAATACAAAAAAAAACTAGTACATCATGGGAGACAGAAACTGACTGTCTCTATGACAACAATCTGACCAAAAGGGGAAAGCTTAGCTCAAGGTCAGGTCCTTGTGGTTTGTCCAAAGCCTGGTTTTAGCACAGAGGAGAAGAGACTGCATTCCTGAGTCGAGCACCTATGGACCTGCACTTTAATATTTCAGCCACTGCCTGCTAGAGGAATGTCTGGGATTGAGGAAGGCTAAAGCAGATTCCAAACTGGGAGATTTTTAAAATGCCACATGGCCATGGTTATCTTAGGAGCTAAAGTACACGAGGGGCCATGAAAGCTGCCAATGTCCCAAAATTGCAATTTGTCATACCTGCTTGTTGGCAGACAGCCCTACAGGACAATGAACTTGACCCCATCTGTCTCGCATTTAAACACTGGAAACCCAGCTGGCTTCTCCACAGAGCAGAACAAATCCTGTGCATCTAGTAGGGGGTTGGCTCAGGGAGGCAAGCAAGGTGTATTCAAGACCAGGCTGCCTGCTTTGTGATGGAGAGGGACATGGTCTTGTATGTATGCCTTTGTCATGGGTGGCAGGACGTATCTCGCTATAAAGTCAGAGAATGCCACAGAAATATACATGATGGGAAAATTACCAAACGGACAAAACGTCTTGAAAGCTTCAGGGGAAAGTACACCAAGTAAAGGTTGGAAGCTTTAGCCTTAGCCTGGAAGTCAGAGCCAGTCTCCCACATCTGGGAGCCCTGGGTTCAGGGCTCAGTTCCCTTTCTGGTAGGTTGGTAGCCATCCACCTTTAAGCCCTGCAGAATTACAAAGAATCCTTTCCATCTGTGAAATCCAAGAAGCTGACTATTTACAAACACAAAGCAACAGAAAGGCCTGGGGACTCAGACTGGGCATATGCACGGAGTGAGTACATGGACAGTTATAAAGCAGCCCCCCCCATACCCTGTCCCTCTATTGGCAGCTGGGTGTGCACATCTAGCCCATAACTGATGTGGTGTTCACTGCTCACCAGCTCATTGAAATGCTAAGC